ACTACTGGGCCTCATTCCACTTTTTCCTTGAGATCACCAATCCTTCCGTTACCAGGGACACGCAGGTAACTGCTGTGGCCCCAAATCCACAACCAAATCCAGGTGACAGTGGCCTTTCAATGGGAGGCTGTTTGTATGTCAAGTGCTTTTCTTCTCTGAACAGTGACAAGGCAAAAATGGCCCCAAAATGGCACAGCTCAGATGGAGAGAGCAGGGTTCCAGACCTTCTCGTGCATCCACAGAATTGCTGAGGGACACAAAGAGAATCTGAGACACAAGACCAAGCCCACAGAAGACTAGGGAGCTGCCCTGGTGTCGGTCAGGACAGAGTTTGTCTCACTGGATCTTCATAACAGATGGTGATGTGGGAGAAGGAAAGAGCCCAGCTTGACTCTCAGAGCCATGAGAGTGTTTGCAAGGCGGGCAGGTCAAAACAAGTACTTTTGAAATTGAACACATTTAGGCTTCGTCTACACTGGCCCCATAAAACGGAATAGTCATGCAAAGCAGGTAAGTCAGAATAGAGAAATCCGCGGGGGATTTAAATATCCCCCGCGGATTTAAATAAATATGTCCGCTGCTTTTTTTTCCGGCTTGGGGAAAAGCCGGAAAAAAGCATCTAGACTGGCGTGATCCTCCGGAATAAAGCCCTTTTCCGGAGGATCTCTTATTCCTACTTATTCCCAAGCCGGAAAAAAAGCGGTGGACATGTTTATTTAAATCCGCGGGGGATATTTAAATCCCCCGCGGATTTCCCTATTCTGACTTACCTGCTTTGCATGACTCTTCCGTTTTATGGGGCCAGTGTAGACATAGCCTTAATGCTTAATCACTAAGGGCACGTCTGCACAGCAGGGCTAAAGTCCAATTAAGCTAAGTAACTTCAGCTATGTCAATTGTGTAGCTGAAGTCGAAATAGCTTAACTCGGCTTTAGGTGCTGTTTACACAGCAGGAAGTTGAAGGAAGAGGACTCTTCCCCCGACTTCCCTTACTCCTGGTGAAATGAGGATTACAGGAGTCAGAGTAAAAAGCCCTCCAGCTCAACATTATTTCAAAATAATGGTTTGCTGTGTAGATACTTACTGTTATTTTGAAATAACGTCAGTTATTCCAAAATAACACTGCTGTGTAGATGTGGGAACAGTACAGTCACTGGTCAGAGCAGGCCATGCACTTTAAGGAAGAGACAAAACAAGAAAAAAGCTTTTGCAGGGACTCGTTTAGGTGAAAACTGTGCAGACTTCACTGTAAGAAGCTGGAACACATAGCTAGAAAGTGCAGAAGCTGGTAGCTCTCTGGACCACATTATGGTTTCAGGGTACATCTGCACCACAATTACACGTGTGTGGTTTGCCACGGTCAGCTGACTCAAGCTTGCAGGACTGACAAACTGTGGTGTAAATGTTTGGGCATGGACTGGAGCCTAGGCTCTGGTATCCTCTTACCTTGTGCCATCCCAGAGCTCTGGCTGGTTGTTTTACAGGAAAGTCCAGTAACCTAATTCCCTTTTGCTAGCTCACCCCTCACTTCTAAGAGGTAGCCTTGTTAGTCTGTATCTGCATAAATAACAAGGGGTCCTGTGGCACCTTAGAGGCTCACAGGGCATAAACTTTCATGGGTAAAACCTACTTCATCAGATTTTTGTTGTCCATGACTCTGTCAACTCCACTCCAATTCATCTGATGAAGGGTTTTACCCCTGAAAGTCCATGTCCTAATAAATCTGTTAGCCTCTAAGGTGCTACTGGGCTCTTAGTTGTTTTTACTTCTAAGGAACCCTTCAAGAACTTCATGGGGTAAAGTAAGAATATATGAAAACTGGTAAGACCTATATCTGGATATTGTTAACTGGAGAGTCTTTGGGGTTAGTAACTATAGTTGCACCTCAGCCAATACATGGAATTTGATTTTAAACTAACAGAACCATAGATTTTAATCAACCCATAGCTCCACGTAGCAACACATCTCCAACCTGGTTTTCATGTAGCCTTTGCTCTCACACGAATCCTAAGGAGCTGACCCTGGAAGAGACCTCAGAAGGTCGTCAAGTCCAGCCCTCCGCTCTAGGCAGGACCAATCCCATCTAAATCAACCCGGCCAGGGCTTTGTCAAGCCGAGACTTAAACACCTCTAGGGATGGAGACTCCACTACTTCCCTAGGTAACCCATTCCAATGCTTCACTACCCTCCTAGTAAAATAGTTTTTCCTAATATCCAATCTGGACCTCTCCCACCACAACTTGAGACCATTGCTCCTTGTTCTGCCATCTGTCACTACTGAGAACAGCCTCTCTCCATCCTCTTTGGAACCTCCCTTCAGGAAGTTGAAGGCTGCTATCAAGTCCCCCCTCACTCTTCGCTTCTGCAGACTAAACAGACCCAAGTCCCTCAGCCTCTCCTCGTAGGTCATATGCTCCAGACCCCTAATCATTTTGGTTGCCCTCCGCTGGACCCTCTCCAATGCGTCCGCATCCTTTTTGTAGTGGGGGGCCCAGAACTGGACACAGTACTCCAGATGTGGCCTCACCAAAGCCGAATAAAGGGGAATAATGACATCTCTGGATCTGCTGGCAATGCTCCTCTTAATGCATCCTAATATGCCATTAGCCTTCTTGGCTACAAGGGCACACTGTTGACTCATATCTAGCTTCTCATCCACTGTAACCCCCAGGTCCTTTTCTGCAGAACTACTACTTAACTGGTTGGTCCCCAGCCTGTAACTATGCTTGGGATTCTTCCGTCCCAAGTGCAGGACTCTACACTTGTCTTTGTTGAATCTCATGAGATTTCTAGTGGCCCAATCCTCCAATTTGTCTAAGTCACTCTGGACCCTATCTCTGCCCTTAAGCGTATCTACCTCTCCCCCTAGCTTAGTGTCATCTGCAAACTTGCTGAGGGTGCAATCTATCCCCTCATCCAGGTCATTAATAAAGATATTGAACAAAACCGGTCCTAGAACCGAACCTTGGGGCACTCCACTAGAAACCGACCTCCATCCTGACATCGAACCGTTGATCACTACCCGCTGGGCCCGGCCTTCTAGCCATCTTTCTATCCATCTTACCGTCCATTTATCCAATCCGCATTCCCTTAACTTGCTGGCAAGAATATTGTGGGAGACCGTATCAAAAGCCTTGCTAAAGTCAAGGTATATAACATCCACTGACTTTCCCATGTCCACTGAGCCAGTTACCTCATCATAGAAGCTAATCAGATTGGTCAAGCACGACTTGCCCTTTGTGAATCCATGCTGACTATTCCTGATCACTTTCCTCTCATTCAAGTGTCTCAAAATGGATTCCTTTAGGATCCCTTCCATGATTTTTCCAGGAACCGAGGTAAGACTGACCGGCCTATAGTTCCCTGGATCGTCCTTCTTCCCTTTTTTGAAGATGGGCACTACATTTGCCCTTTTCCAATCATCCAGGATCACTCCCAATCACCAATTATTCAAAGACAATGGCCAAAGGCTCCTCAATGACATTTGCCAACTCCCTCAGTACCCTCGGATGCATTAAGTCCGGACCCATGGATTTGTGTACATTTAACTTTTCTAAATAGTTCCTAACCTGTTCTTTACCCACCAAGGGCTGTCCATCGTCATCCCATCTTGTGTCAGTGCATTAGTCGGGGAGCCCACCTTGTCCGTGAATACAGAGGCAAAGAAAGCATTGAGTACTTCAGCTTTCCCCACATCATGTCACTAGGTTACCTCCTTCATCCAATAGGGGCCGCACACCCTCTCTGATCACCTTCTTCTTGTTAACATGCCTGTAGAAACCTTTGTTGTTATCCTTCACATCCTTAGCCAGTCGCAATTCCATTTGCACTTTCGCCTTTCTGATAACCCCCCGGCATTCTCGAGCTATACATTTAAACCCCACCCTGGTCATTTGTCCAAGTTTCCACTTTTTGTAAGCTTCCTTTTCGTGCTTAAGTTCACCAAGGATTTCCCCTGTAAGCCAATCCGGTCTCCTACCATGTTTGCCTCTCTTGCTACGTATCGGGATGGTTTCTTTCTGTGCCTTCAATAAGGCTTCTTTAAAATACTGCCAGCTGTCCTGGACTCCTTTCCCCTTCATGTTAACATCCCAGAGGATTCTTCCCCTTCAGGTCTGCAATGTGTAGAGTACCCTGATCACCATTAAAACAAATGGATGTTGAGGGCCTTCTCTACCTTCTAACCCTGACATTGCAAGCAATAATGTTCTTGCAGGGAAGATTTGGACCAATTACTTCCAAAGTGACTCAAGCTGAACAGTCTTTCCAAGAAATAGAAGAGGATTTTTGGAGCCAATACAATCCCATATAACCAAGGTTCCCGCTAAGCTGTGTGGCAGCATAGCTCTGCATCTGCTCAGTCAGCCCTGCCCAGCCAGGCAGCTCCGTGCATGGAGCCTGGAGCCCTGAGACCCTAGCTGGGCAGGGCTGATTAAGCAGCTGTGGGGCCATGCTACAGCGCAGCATAGGGGGAACCTTGCATATGATCTACAATCTTCTCTGAAGTCTTTCAATAAAAGGTTTAGGCTACACTTACTTGAGTGCCAGTTATAATGATTTTAATTAAGTTATCAGAAACCAGCAGAGAGTGAGACCAAGGGAGAAAGAGAAAAGAGGTTTTGTTTCAGACAGTAGTTGATATATCTCTTAAATGTAGTCCAAGGTCTCTACAAATTACCCAGGGTGGTGGTGGGAGCACTGAAGTGCAGCCACCAGAGAGCTATGGTTTTCTCCTCTCGTCTGTTTTACTCTGATATTGTTCTTGGTGGAGCTCTGCCCAATTCAGTCCTGTGCAAATGAAGATGAATATGCCCATTGCTCTTTACCTGTGTCATGTCCTGTGGTCCTGATTCAGTTTTCACTGTGTGGGATTATCAGAAGTGCCTAATTAGGAACTCAGAAGCCTAACTGAAATTTTCCAGCTCTTAGTCTTTACTCAGATCGAATTCCCACCAACTTCACTTCAGTAGCAAGGGGGTTGCCTGACTAATAGCAGAATAAACTTACTAAGGACCTCAGGGTTTGGCCCAATGATACCACAAGAAGTTGCCAGGGCTCAGAACTTGTCAGGATTGGGTGTTACCAGCAGTCAGAGTAGCTACTAAAAGAAGGCACCATACCAGGTTTGGTAGCCTGTTGGTCTAACTGCTGCAAGAGCTGCTGCCTTGATTCCACGTCCTTGGCCAGTGTGAAGACATAAGCCATCAAGGCCTGGGCATATGTGCTGTTCACATCATGTAATGCCTTCTTGAGGCAGAGTAAAGCGTCGTCCACCATGGTGCCCTTAGAAAGGAACATGAAGGTGGTTAGGCCACTTACAGCTGTCAGGAACTAGTCTCAATCTAATGCCCTGGAAGGATTTCCTCTCAAGGTGCTGAACACAGCCACTGAAATGCAGTATGTCTCTGTTGCAGCTGAAGGTGTAATTCCCTCTGGGTATGTCTATACTATCCCGCTAGTTCGAACTAGCAGGGGTAATGTAGTCATCTGCAGTTGCAAATGAAGCCCGGGATTTGAATTTCCCGGGCTTCATTTGCATGAAGCCAGCCGGCGCCATTTTTAAATACCGGCTAGTTCGGACTCCGTGCCGCGCGGCTACATGCGGCACGGACTAGCTAGTTCGGATTAGGCTTCTAATCCGAACTAGCTGTACGCCTCGTGGAATAAGGGAAAGTAGGAATAAGGGATCTTCCGGAAAAGGGTTTATTTTCCAGAAAATCGCGTCTAGACTGGCGCTTTTCTCCGGCTTAACCCCGAGCCGGAAAAAAGCGGCAGCCATGTAAATGCAAATGCCGCGGGGGATATTTAAATCCCCCGCGGATTTGCAATTCCGACTGGTCACATTAGCATCCCTTTTCCGGAAAGGGGTGCCAATGTAGACACAGCCCCCATGTTTAATCAAGGTATTTTCCCAGGAAGCTTGGCTCAGATTGGGTAGGTGGATGCCGTTTGTATGTTATTGCCCAAGGAAGTTTGACTCACATGCAGAGCCTGGTTTCCAATGGGGATCCTGGTGTTTATTTGGTACAGAAGGATTTCTTATAGCTAATGCAGAGGACTGCGAGATAGGGTCACTGGGCTCTTTTCCTGACTCTGCCATTAACGTGTTGTACAACCTTGGGCAAGTCGCATTCTTTCTCTCTGAGCCAGTTTGCTGTCTGTAAAAAGCAGCTTGTACTTGCCTGCCTCAGAGGGGGATGCTGAGGCTGACATCATACAAGTAACACGCTTTGAGAAGTACAGTGGGATGTCACTATAACCAGAAATTTCAGTTGAGTGACCCAGGCAGAAGGTCAAATTATCTTGGTCCTCCCTGTCCTTTGGTGATAGTCAGCAGCTTGGGGGCAAATGAGAACCTGGCACTTAGAATTTCACATTCAATTCACCAAGCACAGGACTGTCAGCTTGTAATCTAAAAAGCTGCTTGCCACTTCTGAATCCCCAGCCCTTTGCTTTCTCCATGCTGATGAAGTGCAAAGCAGAAATGAAGTGGCAGTGGATTTCCCTACTTTGGGCCAACCATTCCCTGCTCCCTGGGGCTGTGGAGGGTTCCCCCAAACCCTGTGTACATCCAGGAGCTACTCACATTCTTCTCCATGTGCAACTCCAGCAGCGCGACAGTGATGTAAGCCGTCAGCGAGATCTCGTCATCCACGCCACCCTGCAGGGTGCCCAGAGAGGCAGAAAAAAGAGGTGAAACAAGAGCAGCAAGGCCACGCATTACTTCCTTGACATGGGAAACATACTTCTAGACATCCCTCACTGAGAGACAAGGAAAGCACTGTCAGATTAACGGCGGTGCAAAGGGAACAGTGAAAAGCAACCTGCATGGAGACCAAATAGTCATGCTCTGCAAATTGGGCTAGAGAAATCCTTAGTCAGAAAAGTTAATCAGAGCAGGTGCAGAGGACCTGTCTCAATACCAGGCCACGGTCTCCCTGTATCATGAGACCTCTGGATGTTCTTGATCTCTGAAAAGATTTGGCTCCAAAGATTCACACAATGTTCCATGCATAGCAGCTTGGGGACTTGCTAGGCTCATAAATAATAAAGAAGAAGATGCTTTTCTGAGATTTTGTCATTTGCAGCCAGGCAAACATAACGCAAAGAAGCTGCACAGGTGTCAAGGGGAATGTAATGTGTCCTGCAGAGCCTTTATGGCCGGTAATGATGCGAGAGAAGGAAAGAGCCCAGACTGACTCTCCAAGCTGTGGGGCAGGAGTTGGAAAAAAGTATCTTTGGTTAGTACACAGAGCCCATTGTGCTAGATGGCCCAGAAACAATGTGCATAGCACCTGTAGTGCCATCCTGAGGAGAGCAAAGCAGTAAGGGAGAGGACACTGACATTGTAACACTCCTGTCAATGTCAGTTCATTGTGTGGGGAGGGTGCTTCCCCATGGTGAGTGGGAGCACAGCACTATTCTGTGGGAGCTGCCGGGGACCCCGCTCCTCTTCCCCACTAGTAGGGCTTCTCCCTCTCCTCCAGTGTCCATACCTTCAGGGCATTGTTGAAGAGTTTCCCCACACTCTGGAAGCAGCCGCTGGGCAGCTGGTTCTGTCCCAGCCAGCGGACAGCATCCTTCACATGCCGCTCATCAATGTACAGGTAGGAGCTGGCCTGGCCGAAGGACCTGCCGGGGACCCCGCTCCTCTTCCCCACTAGTAGGGCTTCTCCCTCTCCTCCAGTGTCCATACCTTCAGGGCATTGTTGAAGAGTTTCCCCACACTCTGGAAGCAGCCGCTGGGCAGCTGGTTCTGTCCCAGCCAGCGGACAGCATCCTTCACATGCCGCTCATCAATGTACAGGTAGGAGCTGGCCTGGCCGAAGGACCGGAGCTGGCCTGGCCGAAGGACCGAGCCACAAAAGCTGTCAGCCTGCAGAGAGCAGAGCAGAGAGGAGCGCTGTATCCATTGGCCTCAGAAGCAGGAAGGCTCCTGCCATTCAGACTCCTGGCCATAGGTGTGGCTGGAGGGCATCAGTTCTGCTCACTTACCAGGTGTTGCCCTCAGCATCACGCTTCCCAAAGGCGCTGTAGGAACCATTGTCATGTTTGTAGAGCAGCTGGCGCTGGTAACCTGGGGAGACAGGAGGACTGGGATGGTCTCTCAATCCTGAGGACTTGCAGCACCTCGAATTGTAGCCCAGATGTGGATTTCCATAAGATGGCTCCACACCTACCAAAAGCGGCTTGTTCCCTCCTAGATCCTATCCTGGCATGATCAGGATGCTCTGCACCACTCCAGAGGCAGGCTGCCAGCCCCACCTAGATCCTCACCCCTTCTGCTGAGGCTCCCCACCACAAGGAGGGGAGGAAGGGTTCAGAGCGCGTCCCCTTCCCCCTTAGAGAGGGGAGGACGAGCATGTGAACCCCAGCCTGGAGCACCGGGGTGGGAGGAGGGGGCACGACTCCAACCTCCCCAACCCCAGAGCCAGCAGGCGTTCAGGGGCAGCAACACTCCATTTCAGTATGCCTACAGCTGGTGTTCTGGAGGCAGAGCGTGGGCAGGGCTGTGCCTGGCAATTTGGGAAGGCCACTGAACCAATATGGAAACCCAGCATATGATGGAAACCACTTCAAGGCAGGGAGTGTAGCAGCACTCTGTGCCTCCCTAGTTCTGGCATTGCTGGCACCACTTACCGGTCTTCATGAATTCCAGTGCTTTGTCTCTGATCTCCGGGGTAAGCTGTTTTGTCTTCTCCAAGTACTGGAGTACAAAGATGTTTGGAGCAAACATGACCATGTTCTGTTCACCACAGCCAAAGGGCAATTGAAGTAGCTGGTGTAAGTTCTCTAAGGCTGCGCCCATGATATCCCCTGGAGGTTGAGAATGGAGAGAAAACACACAATCAGCTCACTCCCCCAGTGTTGCTCCTACCACTTCTACACCATGAAGAGAACTGGGATATGCCCGGGCATAACATCACAGGACAGGGAGTTGATCATGTCTCTCTGTATGGACCTGGTGTGGGTTGCCAACTTTCACACACTGTAAATAAGCCCTCGACTTTCAGAAGGAGCCAAAAACCAAGCAAATCTCATTTCAAAACAAGCCAGGCCCTGAAAGAACCTCAACACAGTGTGACAGTCTGGGTTCTTGGACTGTGGTGGGTCCACTGTGCACCTCTGAACTTGCCCCATTGCCCCCCCGTTTTGCCTCCTTTGCTCTGCTTGCCAGGAGCCAATAAAAACAAAAGCAGCAAGATGCAAGCCAGCCCTCACAGGCTGAAATAAGCCCAATTTCTGAAGTAGCTCTGCAAAATACGGCCCAACTGCCACTGATTTTGGTGCCAGTTAGGGCCTAAATACCTTTGCAGGTCTCAGCCCCAGCACTAGAACTTCACCAGGACTCTGCGGGGAATTCAGTGAAAAGCAGGGGTGGATGCTGCCTCCTGGTTCTGGAAGTGCACTCTCCAAACCTGCTGAGAGGCCCTGACCACCACAGCAGCACATGCTGCCCTGGCACCACAATCTTAATCCCCGCCTGGTGCAAAGGGAAGGTCCCAGGATGGAGCCGGGCTGGAGCATAAACTCCCAATGTTCCAAAGGGCGGGGCCCAGCTCTCCGCTCTGGGCATGGGGAGCAGGGAGCAGGACAAGCCTGGAGGCACGGGCACTACCCCTGTGGGGTGGGTCACTCTCCAAATCACACGTCACCCCAGGGCCCTGTGCGCCAGGCGAGCAGAAGTGTGTTCACCCATTTTCACACCCTGGTTTTCACAATTTTTGTGGGTGCAGTTGAGCCCATGATGATTATGGGTCTCTTGAGGGATTATATGTACGGAGATACAAGAAGAACTAAGTCTGTTTCCTTTGGCTGAGCAACCGCTAAGGGGAGCAGGGAGATGCAAACCCTCAGTTATCTGGAGGGCGGCAATGCTGAGGAGAGGAGAGGATTTATTTGTGGCAGGGGTTGCCAGAGACTGAAACTGGGATAAAATCTGAACAAAGGGTGGAGTTTTCAGGCTTGGTTTCAAGAAATCTTCCCTAATGTTCAGATCTGTGGCATGGTCTCTCCCAAAGGCTGCCTTTCCCAGTCAAACCATTGAGGGTCCATTTCAATGAGGATCATTCTGCTGGAAGGGCAGTGGCTCCAGAAAAGGATTTTGGTTTTTAATATAGCTTTCAGAGGTGTGGATTGATGCAGCATTAGTGCCAGATGCTGCATGAGCCCTTCCCCCTGGCAGCAAAGGAACGGGGAGAAAGTCTTCACCAATGACAGAGACAATGGCTCGGCCTGATCCTTCCAAGACTCCTTCTGGCAGCTTCAGGGAAACTTCTTCTGTAACTGGATCCTCTGAGAAAGACAAAGCCCAAGAATTAACAATGTGTGTGATTGGAGAAAGCTAGAATCATGGGCCCAGAACTGCAGGGGGAGGCACCACTTCGAGTATATGAAGAAGGCAGGACCAAACATGATGCTGAAGGTCCTGTCAGCATGATCTGTGCATACTACCTTTCTCCCCCAGGTAGCTGCTGCTCCCGGCATTGAGTGTAACAGCACCATGGACATGGCACTTGTGCCCTTGCACCTTTCGAAAGGAACGGTGCTCTCAGTGTTTTCTTTCTGAACAGGTGCCTCTGCTATTTGGGGCTCTGAAATTACACAGCAGCCTCTTTCACAAGCCAGAGCAATTACGGTACTAGCCCATCCATACCTGTAACACACAGGAAGGCGTTGTGAGTCTTCTCTTCGAGGGTCCCGCCCGGCTATGGAAACAAAGGGAGTGTATGTCTGAAAGGAGATGGCAGAAAGGAAGACTGCTGTTCCAGTGCCAGGCTGTCTGTGCCTGAGGCGGCTACTGACCCTTTTCCTCTCCCTGACTCTGCTGCCTGAGTGCTGCTAGAGCAGTGTGCGAAGAGACCTCATCTCTCCCTGCCCCCTTGTTTCCCCTCCCTGACCCTGCTGTCCCAGTGCTGGCCTATCTATGCCTGAGGGGCTGATGTCCTCCTGGAGAGCCACATCCCTCCCAGCCCCTCTCGCCCCAGGGCTGGACCCACCTGTTGCCTTTGAAGCTCGACTGACCTTGACAAGGAGGGCTTGTATCACCGTGTCTGTCCGTCCTCGTGGGGGTGTCACGGCGATCTCATTGCCGCATAGGTCGTGTGCCTCCTCAGCCTCGGTGCTCACGGAGACATTCACCTTGCCTGGAAAGGTGACAGGAGAGCAAAGCTGAAGGCTTGCAAGGGGAGAGAGAGAGGGAGGGACATGTGGGCAGACAGATGGGCATTCACATTTGCTCTTGCCCCCTTTGCCCTCTCAACTGCCTCACCCAGTTTGGTGGCGGTCACAGTCCAGGAGAAAGTCTTGGCTTCACCAGCGCAGAGGCAGCTTGTGTATTGGCAATCTGGGCAAGATTCCACCCGAAGCTCCGGAGACTCAGCCAGGCTGGTGTTCACCTGAACAGGAGGGGAACAAACACACTGGGCACCTGGCAGATGTAAAAGGCAAACAGCAGCTCTGCTACTGCAGAATATCAGTCTTCATGATGTGGACCCGATGTGCATGACCAGGACACCTCAAAATGTGGTGTGCCCGGTCTCTGGAACAAACACTATGGGCTCACGTGCGGTGTGGGGTAGCGAGCACTCACCTGGATACATTCCTTCAGGTAGTTGAAGACAATGGCATTTAGGGTGAAAGTCTCTTCTCGGACCACAGAGTAGGGCAATCTCACATCCACAAAGAAGGGCTGGAAAACTGTGAACGTGGCTCGCTGGGAGAGTCCAAAACCGCTATCCGCAATGCAGAACATGTTGGCTTGCCACTCTGTGATGGTGTCAGGAGCAGTGACCTGCAGAGACGCCTTTCCCACCTCACTGCAAAATGGATGGGGCATGGAGCTTGTTGCCTGTAGGGCACTAGTTTCCATCCAGTGCTGGCTTAGAACTTTGGCTGACTTGGAATGACAGGGAAATGAGGTACAAGCCTTTCATCTCTAAAGCACCCCATTTCTTCAGTGCAAATTATTTTATTTTCACAAACTCCAAAATAAAAAACAGGGAGTAAAGATTGGGGGGAATGTGATTGGTGGCAAGGGTGGGGGAAGAGAATGGAATTGTTTGTCCTTTAGAAGACTGTCAGAGAGGGCTAAATGTTTCAAATTTTGGGTGCCTGTTGTGTACATGATATATTGCCTGGGAAACACGAGAAGCCTGCTGGGGACAGACAGAAGGTTCCACTCTGTACAGGTAGGCATTTTCCAGCAAAGGCTTTTCCTCAGCCCCTAGACTACAGGAGTAGTTGAATCACCTCATGAGGTACTACAAAGTGAGGCACATCACTCATTGGAGATGGCAGAGGGTTTCATGCTCAGGAATTACCTGTGATTTTTCTTCCTAGGTGGATCTGTTGGGGTCACTTACCCAACGGGGACCAGATCCCAGATCCAGGTCTCTGGAAAATGTGTCCGTGGTTTTGTCTTTTCCTCCTTGGGGCTTGGTGTCACCTCAACACCCGTTTGAGAAACAAGCGAGGGAATGACTGTGGGGAGTAAAGGGGCAGGTCAGTTAAGATGTACTGTGTTTAGTATTTCAGTGGAGATTAGCATGTGTTTAGTGTTTCAGTATTGAGTCCCCACTGAGTATAGGGTGTAGTTTGATGAGCCCCCATAGGGGTTCCAGTGTGTGATGGTAGGTGATAATTAGAGTGCATGGCCAGAGGGGAGTTTAATGATGTATTGAAGCAGGTTCTCCTTGGGTATTTGGGTGACCAGTTTTTAAAATAATAGAAGATTAGGGCTTGAAGAGACCTCAGGAGACCATCTAGCTCAGTGTTTCTCAAACTGGGCTCCACGGAGCCCCAGAGCTCCGCGAGACATCTCCAGGGGCTCTGCGAGGTTGACAAACTAGAACCATCGATAGGTACAACACGTACAATCAGTGGACCGCTGGGGCTCCGCATAAATTTTTACACATGTAATGGGCTCCAGAGCCCAAAAAGTTTGAGAACTTCTGATCTAGCTTAAAGATTCCACAGAGAGCTGATCACAGACTGTGTGATTCTTCAGCTAGGCGTGTCCCTCCCTACCTGTGTGTGCGCATGCACTGGAAAAGGTGTTTGAGAGCCTGTCAGAACAGCACAGAGTAAGGGAAAGCCATGGAACAGGTAGGCTCAGTAGGACCCCAAAAGGACGGGAGATGCAGATCATCACAGTTAGTCAGTCTGATGTTTACAAGGGCAGATGTGAAAATAATATTGCCAGCTACTCCTGGAGAGAGGCAGAATAGTCCAAGAAGCCCACGTACTAGGCAAGTCTAACTGAGCACCAGGAAAATGTTACTCAGTTAAATAAATGGAAAACTTCCCCGCACAACCTCAAACCCACTTTATAAAAATGTTCTCAGTGAATTACGCATTTACAACAGATGTCAGGATAAGCACTCGGGCGACTGAAGATCAGTGTTCCCGCTAAGATTTTCCATCCATGAGTGGAGTGATTTTTGTCTTGTGCACCAATACTGAGGTCATGTGTGCTTGTTCCGATGTGTGCCACCATTGCACCCACCAGTTACTAACAAATATCATATTCATTTTATATATACGCATATATGTATGTAAGTGGCATGGAAGAAATAATACTATAACAGCCCTTTCCCCGATCACTGCGCAGCTCCGCTGAGGAAGTGGATAGGAAGGCAAATTGTGGTGCATGCTCATTCAGGCGAGCACCTTACAGGGAACACTGCCCCTGACTCTTCCACCTACAAGCCATTGCCAGAGAGTGTGCCCATTGCTTTTGGGAGCCAATCAAGGTAAGCATCAACCACCACACCCCTCCTGCAACCCGACCTCCTGCCCCAGCCCAGAGCCTGCCTGCCCTCCCACACCCAAACTCCCTCCCAGAGCTGTCACCTCACATCCCAATCCCCTACCCCAGCCTGGTGAAAGTGAGTGAGGGCGGGGGAGAGCAAGAATGAAGGGGAAGAGGGATGGAGTGAGCGGAGGCCTCAGAAAAGAGGTGGGAAAGGTGAATGGCTTCAGAGAAGGAGCAGGGCAAGAGTCTTTGGATTTTGCCCTATTAGACAATTGGCAGCTCTGCCCCCGGCCAGACACCATGCCCCCAGCCCATTCCTGCCCCTAGAGCGCTCCTGCCCCCAGCACACTCCTGCCCCCACAAATTAATGGTTGTTTAGCACTTATTGGCAATCAGCTTCCACCTCTCTCCTAGTGCTTGCTGCAGCCAGCTGTTTTGCAGAATGCAGGGTGCCTTGGGAGAGAGGGGGAGAAGCCAGGACTTCTGGAACTTGGAAGGGAACAAGAAAATGGAGTCTACCCTCAGCCTGCTCCTTCCTCCTGCCCCCACGCCCCAGCCAGACACCTGCTCCCAATCTACTCCTGACTCAAATAGTTGGAGAAATCACGGGCAGTATTTTAAGGAGAATATTAACTTTTTGTCTTCTTAAAGGTGGCCAGGAGAGTAGCCTGAGTTGTGGTGGCTGGGCAGAACAGAACTGTGGTCTTTCCACCAGGGCAATGGCAAAAGAGATCATTAGTGTTGTGAACAAGAGGGCTAGCCAAGTGGAGCTACCAGGAGGAGGAACTGAAGTGCCCTAAAAGTGAGGTGCCATCAAGAGCCTGAACTGTGTCCATGCCCCTTCTCCAAGGATCTGCCCTCACACCGACCTTCTTGCTAAGGCCCCACCCCCTGGTTGCTTTTCTCTGTCTCTTTCCCCCATCGCTTGCCCTTATGAGTGGTAAAGTGGGGCATGGCCCCTTCCCCTTCACTCCTCTCTTTCTCCCCCGCCCTCCCCCCCCAGTGCCATCAGCCCTGGCTA